GAAGTAGAAAAAGACAAAATCTCCTGAATTGGAAGCATGGGGAACCTTGGGAGAGGATCGAAGGGGAGGGGAGAGGTAGGGAGGGGAGCAGAGAAAAATGTAGAGCTCGATAAAAGTAAGAAGAAGAAAAAAAAAGCATTTAAGCAAAAATGAATACAATTCCTTTGGAGATCGTGAGATTGTAGCATGAGGGGGCCGGCCTGTTGGGGTTTCTGTCCCACCCGGCACCCTACAACTGGCAACTCCCAAAGAAAATCACACACAGGACTCCATAAGGTTATAAACTGATTGGCCCATTTGGTCAGGCTACTTATTAGTTCTTATGACTTATCTTAACCCATTATTCTGATCTATGTTAGCCACACGGGCTCAATACCTTTTTCAGCTGTCAGCTTACATGTTGCCTCTTCGGTGGTCTGCGCAGGAATGGCAGAGGAACTTCCCTGCTTCCCAGAATTCTCCTGCTCTCATTGCTCCACCCCTACTTCCTGTCTGGCTTTCCCGCCTATACTGCCTGCCTGGCCAATCAGCATTTTATTAAAATATGATTGACAGAATACAATTCTCCCGCACCATGAGATTTCTAGAGACCTGCAGTTCTTGGTGAACTTGGCATGTGCCAGGCTGGAGGGTCACAGGCACTCGTGTGTACACCATCATAGTATTAGCCATGTTGCCGCTCTAGCATCAGCACAGCCCACCGCAGCGTCACTAATTAAAGGTGGGTGCCCATAGGCACTTAAAATCTCTAAAACTCTGAAAGAGTAACATAGTCATTTTACCTTATTAAACTATCATTTTCAGAATCCCCTATACTATTTTATCTATTTCTTTATTTACATATTTTTATTGTTATGTTTTTAACAAAAAGAAATTTATTTCAAAAGCATAGCAGAACATTCAAATAAAGGAAACAGGTGACTTGCAGAAATAAAATCAGATTCACAGCAGGAAGCTTTTCATTTAGATTTCTGAAGCAAAAAGAACCCTAAGTCATACGCTATTGCCTTGGCAAAGAAGGGGAGCAATGGGGTGAGGCAAGAAGGGCGGAGCTTCAGATTCAACAGGAGGTCAGGTCACTTCTGCTCAGCTTTGAGCTTACAGATACACACAGACAAAAGAGAGGAAAAGTTACGCTCAATGTACTTGGTGCTCAGACATATATGAAGACAAAACACCTAAAACTTGTAAAACTAAATAAATATTTAGAGAAAAAAAAATTGCGGGGCTGGAGAGATGGCTCAGCGGTTAAGAGCACTGACTGCTCTTCCAAAGGTCCTGAGTTCAATTCCCAGCAACCACATGGTGGCTCACAACCATCTGTAATGAGGTCTGGCGCCCTCTTCTGGCCTTCAGGCATACACACAGACAAAATATTGTATACATAATAAATAAATAAAAAATTTTAAAAAAATTGCATGTAGTTTGGGAAAGAGGCAGTGGTTAGCAATTGAACAATTGCAACAGTTGGTGTCACCCCTTTAAAATGTGGTGGCAGCTGCACTGGACCCTCAGGCCCACCCGTTTGGAGTAGCTGCAGATCGTTTAGCATGTGTAGCCTAACTAGCCAAAATGGGTGGTTAGAGGCAGGCCTTGAAGTCTCTATCTGGCTCTGGTTCCTGTCTGAGGTTTCCTGGTCCACCGAGATATGTAACAATTGTTAAGTCTCAATCCATCCCTGGCAACCATTGGCTGATGAGAGGAAGTGTGACCCCTTTAAAAGGAAGCAAGAGCTCACCAGCTTGCTTCCGGTTTAGAAGTAAAGCAAAGCACCTGTCTTATACCTAGCTTACTTGGCTTCCTTTGCTGTTTTCCGCGTGACTCCTTTAGGCGTTAGTATTTCTCATGCACACAGTGAAAGGCTAGGTAATAGGGAAAAACTGTGAACATATACACATATGGGGTGTAACAATCATGGGATGCATGTGTAGATAAGCCAGAGGGAAAGGAAGTAGGAGGGAGGGCAGAATAAGTTTCTGTTCATTACCCATTTGTTCTTTCAAATACCCCATGATCAAATGGTTGTTTACTGTGTGCCAGACAGGGTGCTATGCATCAAGGAATCACAGGGAAGCAAAAACTAATCCTACCCCTTTCAACTTCAAAGAGTCTATGATGATGACTCTTACGTGTGACCTCGGCAATACACATATCTAAGATCTCAACACCTTTGTTTCTAGATCTTCCCAGGGATGTTTGCACTGACAAAACTCAGGCATGCACAGGATAGTGTAGTAAAGGTAATTTTAGCATAGAATGCTTTCAGCTAATTCTGGAGGGTATGCTTGACCAGGGTTCTGAGATGAAATAAATCTGTACATCAGGTATGCCTTTGTGTAAGTGAGAATAGGGCAGTGTGTGGAGGTTCAGTGTGGGTAAGGAGTATAGAAGCAGGCCGATGACTAGTGGGTATTCAGTGCAAAATAGCAAGGAGTCTAAAGATATTAAAGAGAATCAGAAAAGATGAATGTAGAGATGTAAGCAGGGTCAAATTATTAAGATTTCAATAATGCAACTGCTCTTAGCAGTTACTAAAATACTTATCAATGGTCAACTATTAACTACAGCAAGAATATGGTGTGTGTAAATATATATGATATTCATCACTGGGTTATGAAGTAGTAGTAGTAGTACCCACCCAGGGCAGAAGTTGGAAGTTTAAGGCTTAAGCTTAAGTCTGCCTATTGTGGCATTCTGTGACACATCCCTGAGCTTTGTTGAATACTGAGGAGTGTCCCTGGCCTCTGTCAATAAAATCAGATTAGTACTCTGCTGACTAATGGGGACAAACAAAAATGTTTCCAGACATTATCTAACGTTCCTGGAAAGCAACGTCATTTCTGATTAGGAACCACTTGCTTAGGCCTTCGCAAAATAGCGAAGTCTCTTAAGAAGCAGACGGCCTTGTGAAACATGATGTCATTCATTACCCACACAGGCCAAACTCTAAACACCTGCCAAGAAAAGTAACACAGAAAACAGATAAACATAATCAGATCAGAAATGTGTTTTAAAAGAGAGATTCTGATTTTGTAAGTCGCAGCACAAAATAGACGGAAAATGCTCAAGGCATTTCGTAAACAGAAGAACAGAACCCAATTAAACATGTTATATTCCAGGCTTTTCATTTCTGTCACATGCCATGCGTCTGAACGCACAGTGTAAGCTGCTAATGGAGGTGTGCACACACACACACACACACACTGCTGTCCACGCCTTTGATTCCGGCAATTTTACCCTACAATGTCTTAAAGTAAATGTGACATTACACACATTTTAGCATCCATTTTCCCAGCAGGAAGTGTAAAGAGACTCAATCAGTATGTTAAAATGATCTGATGCAAGGGAGGGAGCAGAGCTTTCAGATCATAAGAAATACAATCTCAAGGAAATTAAAAGCTTGAAATATGGCATATGATTACTGGCACTGAATTCCTACTGCTGTGCTTTGGAGGGACTTTTAAAGACACTTTCTATTTGCTAAATAAATCTGCAAGATTGCATTGCTTTCCCAAGTGTCAATGAGCTGCACTGAGAAAATCTCTGTACATGGGTATTGGAGCAAACTTTCTTATGTAGGGACTGAGTGGACTGAATGGCTCAAATCAATATGTCTAGTAAGACAGCTGTAGGATCACTCTTTTCCATGCTTCTGTTCCCATCTATTTTCCTAAGAAATAGATGAACAGACTTATACCGTATGGATGTGAGCAGGCTTCAAGTTAGCCGATCAGTAAGTCTCTCATTGCTATGCTGCTTCATCTTTCTTCCTGCCTTCCTTTCCTCTCCCACCCCATCTTCCTTCATTTTCTCTTGCATTCTCTCCTTCCTTTTATTTATCTCATCTTTCTTTACACATGCTGTCACTTAGAGGATATTTACCAAACACTTCCTAGGTGGCGCTTGATGGGATTTGTAGGTTACAGCAGTGACCCGAGAGGGCTACATATCCTGTTTTCATGAGAGACAAACTGACAACAATCAAAGTATTGGGGAAGCAGTTCTAGCTGGAGCTATGGCGGACATGGTAACTGCTTCGGTAACCAAGTGCAATACAAGACTATGATCTTGCTAGGAACTGAGGGTGGCCCTCCTCAGACAATATATGTAGGGTAAGTAGGAGTAAGTAGGCAAGAAGCAAGAAAGCAGTCCAAGGGGCTGGAGAGATGGCTCAGCAGTTAAGAGCATTGCCTGCTTTTCCAAAGGTGCTGGGTTCAATTGGTGGCGCTCAACCATCTGTAATGAGGTCTGGTGCCCTCTTCTGGCCTGAAGGTATACAAACAGAATATTGCATACATAATAAATAAATATTTAAAAAAAAGCAGTCCAAGTGGCCAAGAAACACTTACAAAACCAAAAGAAACTTGGTCTGAGAGGAGACATCAGGAGAAAGTGGAGGGTAGTGAGAGAAAACATCTTGGCAAGACCTAGTCTAAGTGGAACCATCAACAACAAAAACTTGTTATTGTGTAAGACTTTTGGAGGCTATTTCTCTAGAATGTAGACAATAGAAAGACACTATCTTACATGTGGTAACAGAAACCACAGTGCTATATATGTAAAAACCAGGGCCCCAACAATCCATGTTGAACAGATTTTGAGGATCAAGACTTCTCATAGATCAGCATTTCAGCCACAACTGTTTACATAGGCAGTTGTTATAATTGCTAAAAAACAAACAAAAACCAGGTTACTAGTTTCACTTTTCATATTTTAGCATCCTGCCCAATTATCTTAACCATCCAACTTTTTTAGTTTTAGCAATGATTTGTCTCACTTCCTAGGAAGCTCCTCAACTGCTCCTAGAACTCTGATACCCTAGCCTTCCTTCCTGACCCGCCATAAAGCACCCTGACACAGGCACCTTCCCAGAATCCTGACCTTGACTGCTCAGTAATCCCTCAACTCTCACATCAAGTGACAGGAGCTGTCCTATAGCCCTTCTTTCCCACACCCAGCCCTGTGAGCTCATGGGTTGGCATGGATTTTAAAAGGCAGGCTGAGTCAATCTGTAAGGTTTATTAAACAATGTATGTGTGGTGGGGACGGGAAACGGGGGACAGAGTAACAGAAAGTTGGCAACAAGTTCAACAAAAAAGCTCTTGTCATTCAGGCACTGCAGATGGACATGGAGACACCTCTGAGGTGTCTGTTAGTGTCGAATCATTGTATGCTGGAGTCTCCCATGCCTGAGCTGATTACCAAACATTATTTAAAAAAAAAAAAAAGGCTGTTTCAGGATGCTGTGAGTGGGCTGTCCCCAGTTTCACTTTGAGTGGTGGTCCTGCTGTCCACTCCCTGGTCCTCTGAGGTCCACAAACACCTAAAGAATTAAAAGGAAAAAAGAGAACAATACTATGGATCTCCACCACCATAGCCACAGAGCCTCTCACTGCTAGCCAATTGGAGGTTAAAGCAGGTCACGGCTAGACAGGCTCAGAGGGGACAGAGTCCCGCTGCCCATGTTTACCCATCTCTCAACACAGCAGTGTGGGCATGCCAGCCTTCCACCACACAGGCTCATGGAGGGCTCTCTTCTGCAGCCATGGAAGAGGATGTGGCCAGGGCTCACAGGATACTCGCAAAACTGGGCCAGAATAAAAACCCTCAACGCAGAGCCCCGCTTTTAACTCCCTTCCATAAGCCTTTGTGTACACTGCTCAGCACAGGCAGAAGGCGCTCAGCAAGCCTGGTGTCAACAGCCAGGAGAACAAAAGGCTGGGAGAAGGAAGATTTGTTCAAAAGCACCAGGGTTCGGCAAGGACAGTGTGGATCCTCCAAACACGGGGAAAGGCTTTCGGCATTCTCTCCCTGCAGTATCAATGACCAGGGCACAGGCAGCCCACGATCACTTTCGAATACAGGGGCAGCTTAGGGAAAGGGCCAAGTCAGGATACCTGGCCAGGACACAGTGACCATAGTAACAGCCCCTGACTGAAGTAGCTTCCTAATTCCCCAAGATCTGCAGGAATCCCCTGGAGAGCCTGCTAAATGCCGCCTCCAGATATGATTTCCAAGGTGATGGTGGCAGTGCTTGCTTCAGGAACCAATCTGAGAACCATTACTTCAATGGTCTCCTACTAAACAGAATGAAGCAATGGGGGTACTGAGAACTCACTAGGTCCCACCCAAGTTGAGAGAAAGTTGTCTGCACCCCCTGAATAAACTGTGACCGCAGAGTGGCTCCATATGCTTCCATTTCACACCACAAAGATGTACAGAAGTGAGGTGGCAAATCCCCGCTGGCCTGGGAAGCAGCAATAGGGAGCAGCCTCTGCTTTTCCTCATGATTGAGGCATTTTCCTGGACCACTGCTGCTCCCCCAAAGCATCTCAGATTCATACCTGGCAAGGCCCCTGTTCCAGTCACTTCTTGCAACGCGAGGAGTGCTGACATAGACAGCAAAGATGAGCTGACAATCCTACAGAGACAAGCCACAATCAGTACCGCAGTCAACCAAGACACAACTAGCGGTTGGAGGTGGGCGGGCTGCAACCGCGTCTTCCCGGAGCCTTTCTCCTCCATGCTGGGAACTCAACTCACAACACATTACACCAGCGCTTTACCACTGAGACACATCCCAGCTCCTTATTTCTGTACTTCACCTGCTGACTGTACCCATCCTCCACAGGTAAAGGCTGAATTTATTTCTCTGAGTTATTTCTTCCTCTATATTGAATACATTGTAACTTCTGATAAAGAAATTGGTTTAACTGCTTTTAGTCTTGGTAAGAAGCAATTTGGATGTGTGTGCAGGTTTGAGTAAGAATGACCCCATAGGTTCATATATTTGAATATTCAGTCCCAGTGTTAAAACTGTTTGGGAAGAATTAGGAGGTGTGTCATGGCAAGGGAGGCCTGAGCCCATGGCATTCCCAGTCAGTTCTCTGCCTGGTAGTTGTGATGTGAGATGTCTCACGTAGCTCTCAGCTCCTGCATGGCCATGGACTCACCCTCTTTGACTCTAATTCCCCAATAACCTTTTCACAGGCACACATACGGCATAAATATATATGTGCATTCACACATGCACATAAATAAAAAGAATGCAACTTTTATTTTGGTCTGCAAACCATACATTTTAAAGAAAGTTCCAAAGGGTTACACAACTGGCAGAAGAAAACTGGCTAAGAACTGTGGCTCACAAGCGATGCCAATACATACTTCAAGGCATACGACTGCGAGGAAGTGACCCACACACTCTGTACCAGGAAGCTCCCCTCTCAACACACACTCAAGGACCCCTATTTGAGGCACAATGCCTCAGACACGGCTCTCTGGAAATGTGCGCTGGCCTGTCACCTCACAGGTCTCTAGAAACAGGACATCAAGCTGCAAAGACCCAGCACTGACTTGTGCAGCTTCCAGAAAGGGACACACTGCTACAAGGCTGCAGAGTGTAGGAAAGCTCCAGGCTTTTGAGGGGGCAGGATGGGTGCCCCAAACCCAGGAACATGTCTTTCAGCATCCTCTCCCTGCACTACCAATGACCAGGGCATGGACAGCCAAGATCACTTTCGGATGCAGGGGCAGAAGGACAAAAGGAGACCTAGGAAAGACAAGAGACTGCTGCCAGGGCCAGACTCAAGCCACAGTGAACACACGGATGCTGTGCTAAAGTCAATCGCATGGAACCGCATCAACGAGCCAAGGAGAACAAGGGCTACTCAACTGGCAAAACTACCAGAACCTGTTGGGGCTGGAAGTCAGTCCTATGAACTCATGTCCATAAAAACCTTTGTCATGGCTTTGGGTTTCCAAGCCAACAAGTGGAGATTGCCTCTTGGTGGGGTCTGGGGACTAACTAGTTATCAGCTGGTTGGGGTTCAAGGCAGACAGTATGTCTAGGCTGAGCCTGTTTTCCACCAGTGAGGTTTGATTTCTAGTCACACTGAGCAGTCAGTGTTTAGGTGACCAGAACCAGAAAAATCACAGCCACTGAGATACAGCTTTGGAGGTGCACACAGATGGGGGCACTTCCGTCACTGGGGGAGAAGTGGGTTCTGCTACAATGCTGAGGGAGGGTGCCTAGGGAAGCCAGTGCAGAGACTCCACACCACTCTTAGCCCTTCCTTTCCCCTATTGCCAGCTACATCTTCTTCCTGTACCACTGACCAATCACTGCCACTGTAATGACAAAGCGAAAGGTCAGAGTGGAATGATGGCACATACAAGTGTCTTCAATGCTCTTCCTCCCCCTTACAACAGACTAACCCTGCAAATGCCCTAAGCTTTCTCCCAGTAGGGCTCTGGGGATAACAGGTATAATCCAGGTTTTGGGAGGATCCACATAACCCCCTTCTCATCCTCACCTCCCCTACGCAGCCACCAAAGCAACAGGGAAAACTACAAACTCCAGGGCTCAAAGGCTGAACAGAGCCAGCTTTAGATTCAAGCACTGACCCCCGAGCAGGCCTCTCTGAACACAGTGCTGAGTCTCTGAATTACCTGCGACAATCACTTGAGCAGCCACAAGGGTCTCATATCTTACCTGGAACACTCTGGAGACAAGCCCGATGCTCTGCTGTGCAGGCCGCTCAAAAGTGCATCAGGGCCATGGCTCGCTGGCCATGTACTGTCCTCTGGCGGCACAAGGCATGGACCTGGTTGTAAGGGCAGCACAGACACATCAGTTATTCTGTGTTGTCCAGCTATCGTTCTTGCCTGTTCCCACGGGGGTGTAAAGAAAAACCCTTTCCAAACGGCTACCCAAGGCAGTGGTCTAAAGTAGGCCACAAGGCGTGGGGGTGGGAGGAGAGAACAGCAATCTGCCTCCTCTGGGAACTCCACGTGCAGGCTGCTTACTCGGTTTACAGGCAACAATGCCTTACAAGGAAGGACTGTCCTTCGCCTTTCATTGGTTCCAGTCAGAACCCTGACTCTTGACTGACAACACAGCAAGAGGTATTGCTAGGAGTCAAGCAAGGAAACAAGTTCTACAAGGTCTCAAGCGTCCTAGGAGGTGACAGTGGGTGTGGAGGCTTCCGAATTAACAGAGCAGAATCTAAGCTCCATGCCCTGCCCGCCCATGCACTCCTGGCTGCCTACCAAAGTGCCAGGGTGACAGGCAGGAAGTGGTGTGGGAAAGCACCAGGGTTTGGCAAGGACAGTGTGGATCCTCCAAACACGGGGAAAGGCTTTCCGCATCCTCTCCCTGCAGTATCAATGACCAGGGCACAGGCAGCCCATGATCACTTTCGAATACAGGGCATAAAGAACAGTGGCAAAGTTGAGGAAAGGCTATGGCCAAGCTGGAAAACGGTTAAACTGGAAACAGATGGACAGACAAGCAACAGCCAGATTTGCAATAGAGAGGAAAGAGTGATCAGTTGTGGGTCCTTAAGGAGAGCTGAGATGATTGGCTGGGACCCGCAGCCTGAGTTGGGTCTAACTGGCGCCCTCTACCTACTGCAGCGGATCCAGCACTTCTTAGCTGGGTATCTTTACATAACCTGCCCAGCCAGGAGAGCTGAAGGTCACAGAACTCTCCGGTCCAGTGGCCCCAATTTTCAGACGAGAAAACCAAAAGGACCAGAGAAAGTCCAGAAGCTAGCAGAGAGCAGTGACTGAGATATGGGCAGATGACCCACCAGATCCTTCCTGCTGACACCCACCAAGTAAAGTGGGGACAGGGGAACTAAGGACACGGTGGGGTCAGTCAGAAGAAGGCATACTTCAAAGCCCCCAAGGAGGAGTAATGTGGATCTGAGGAACTCAGCCTCCCTCACCTTCACACACTCCCAAAGGCAATCCGGAAAACGGCACATATTCTTGCAGGATACCGAGCTCCAGATGCCAGGTGACAATCCTCACTCAGGAGCAACATGGTCCATCAGTCTGGCAGGATGGAGACACCTCTTATGGTCGCTGTGTACCCAAGCTGTTATTTCTGCAAACAAGAAGCCCAGGTGAGCAACCTGAACATTATCCAGTTACCTGCAAAGCACAGAGAACACCAGACACAGAAGCTGCTAACCACGCAGCATGAACTCTCCCTGTAGGAAGAGGCTGCTTGCTGGTTTCCGGCCACCCGGCTAGCTTAGACCCAAAATAAAAACAGATACTGTATTATTTAAATCACTGCTTGGCCCAATAGCTCTAGCTTTTTATTGGTTAACTCTTACATATCAATGTAATCCATTTCTATTAATCTGTGTATCACCACATGGCTGTGGCTTACTGGCAGCTCCATGGCGCCTGACTCCGCCCTTCTTTCTCCCAGCATACAGTCTAGCTTTTCCCGCCAAGTTCTGTTCTGCCCTTGCCATAGGCTCAAAGAAATTATTCATTAACCAATAAAATCAACACATAGACAGAAGGACCTCCCACACCACTCTCCCCTCTCCATTTCCTTTGAAATCTGTAAGTGACCCCCACTATGCAACATGGACCTGAACTGTTCCCAAAGTCTCACCATTCTGTTGTCCGTGGCTCAATAGTTAAATGGGGGGGGGGCAAAGTAAAGGACATACTGTTCCTACATATGGTGAAGGAGGAGAAAGTTTATTATAGATGTACAGGAGAGCATAGTTAAAGAGTCAGGGATGTGTCCAGAGTGGATATGACCAGGTTTAAAAAGAGCAGGTAACCAAAATATCTGGATTATGTAGGGAAGTGCCTTGGGGGGGGATTACGGTCCAGGGACTGGGTCGTCCTGGAGAGTTCAGGATGGGGGTGGCGTTTGCCAGCCACACCCTGTGTAACAGGTAGGGTCTGAGGGAAGATGGGAGAAACATGGAGGGCAGGTTTCCCTGGATATATTAAATAGGAACCTCCTCTGTTTGTCCTGGGTTTGAAACTTAAGATCAACCATAGCCAGGTGGTGGTGGCGTATGCCTTTAATCCCAGCACAGGGGAGGCAGGGGCAGGTGGATCTCTGAGTTCGAAGCCAGCCTGGTCTACAAGAGCTAGTTCCAGGACAGACTCTAAAGCTACAGAGAAACCCTGTCAAGAAAGAAAGAAAGAGAAAGAGAGAGAGACAGACAGACAGAAAAGATCAACCATGCGGCCTTTGGTCTTTCTGGCCCCCACCAAGCTTCTCCCTGCACAGTGGCTTTGCCAGGCCTTTCTCAAAAGCCGTCTGAACTCCACACCATTCCGTTGCTGGTGCCCACCGGAAGGCCATGCGGAGGCTTCACATTGCTCCGGAACATCACCACTTACCCAAGCATCCTCTCCAGGGACAACGGGCACCCACCAGGGGGTTGAAGAAAGTAGGGGGCCCCAGGGGGTGCAGAAGTTGTAATCTGTCGACCCAGGGAGCTTCCATCGGTCTCCAGGAGGGCTGCACAGCCTACGGGCCTGGCAGGAAAAGCATAAGAGAAGGGGCTGTAGCGGAAGACAGGGCACCGGGATCCGGACGCCGCGCCAGGGGTCCTGGGAGCGTTCTCAATTTAAATCTTGGTCCACGAGTTCGCCTTAGAAGGAATCTAAAAACAGGGCCACAGGTCGTAAGCAACGATGAATTTTCGGAGGCGACAGACATGACTTCGGTGCTTCAGACACCACAACTCAACGGCGGAGGGCTGGGAAACAAAAAGCACAGGGCTGGGCGCCCTCCTCCAGACCCAGACCCGCCGTCCACTATTGGCCCATGGGCCTTAGTTTCCCTGATGAAGGGAACGGCGCTGCCCACACGCCCCGATGCACTCACCTAGGAACCCTGCACTGGGCAGAGGAGCAGAGAGCCCGGGAGCACGCAAAATGTCTGTAGATTTCGGTGGATGGCACTGGCCACACACGGTTCATATCCACGCGACAGGAAGCTTCACTCTTCACGATGAGCGCCGGCGGAAGTACAGATACGAAGGCGCGCTGCAGCCTAGAGCGGCAATCCCGACCGGCGGGAACTCCAGCGCCCCCTGGAGCAGAGAAGGCCAACAACAACAGCTTGGACGTGTTGCTGATTTTTGATGGTGGCGGAGTTCCTTCATTTCGCTTTTTTGTTTGTTTGTTTGTTCTGAAGCCGATTCATCTTATTCACTACTGATTCCATAACACCTGGATCAGTGGTGCCACAAAGGAACAAATGATGAGTTACAGTCTTGTTTCTTCAAAACCACCACAGGGAGATGTCAGTAAGGGTTTGAGACTGGAAAGTGGAGGTGAGAAGATTAGCCCAGAGAAGTGGACAAAGAGTGAATGCTTTACTAAACGTCTTCCTAAAGGTCTCAAGAGATAGGCTGATGGAGCGATTCCCTTAGCCAGAAGAAACCCGATCCAAGCGGCAGAGATGGATCTTCCTAGTGACGTCTAGGAAGGGGCTCACACCTCCAAGTCCCCACACTTTCAAATTCGGCCTGAATTCTAGGTCAAATGTGGCTCTTGGCCTTACGGTAGCACTGCCCTTGGGTCTGAAGAGGAACTCCACTGGAAGATTCCAGAGACTGTCTAGGTCAGGAGAAAGGGAAAATTCAAACTTCTGCCGTGCAACCTTGAGGGAACGGGAGTCCTAAGAGGTGGGTGGATCCCATATTCCACACTTGGGAGATGCTCACAGGGTTCTGAGATTGGACACTGTGGGTCTCTGTGATGGGAGGGAACTGTGGGATGTGGTTGCTGGGATATGCTGAGGAAGGTACTCTTACAGACACACCTCTGCCCCCCCCCCCCCGAGAGGTGAGCCACCATGCCCAGTCCTAATTTTAGGTTTTCTAAGAGTGACAAAAAAATTATTTATTGATTGATTTATTTATTATGTATTGAGTGTTCTGCCTGCATGTATCCCTGCAGGCCAGAAGAGGGCACCAGATCTCATTATAGATGGTTGTGAGCGACCATGTGGTTGCCGGTAAGAACAGCCAGTACTCTTAACCACTGAGCCATCTCTCCAGCAACCCTAAGAGTGACTTGTAATAGACAAAAGATAGTCAGGGCTGGAGAGGTGGCTCAGTAGCTAAAAGCGCTTGCAGAGGACCTCGGTTCAATTCTCAGTCTTTACTTTGAGGCCCTTAATGCTCCTGTCTGTAAGCCAGTTTCAGGGGGATCTGATACCCTCTTCTGTCCACTGTTAACACTGTGTATGTGAAAAACATATGGTACATGCAGGCAAAATGCTCGTACACAAAAAATTACTTAAAATCTTTTTTTAAAGACAAAAAATAGAATCCTCGTGATGTATCTTATAAACTCAATACTGTAACCAAAATATTATCTCAACATCATAATGGTTAGTATTGCCAACTTGACAGGATTCAGAATCACCTAGAAGACAAACCCCTAGACACTCCTGTGAGGGAAACCTAGCTTAGTTAGCCACTGGGCATATCTGGAAAAGAATTATCTAGATTACATTAAGTGAGATGAGAAAACCCACCTTTACTGGATGTGGGCAGCACCATTCTGTGGTCTGGAGCGCTGAACAAACAGGAGAGAGTTAGCAATCCTTGTGTCCTAGGTCTGAATGCAGTGTGACCAGCCACCACGACCTCCCTCCCATGGTGGACTGTACATTCAGACAGTAAGTCAGAACTACCTCCTCCCCCCTTCACTGACTATTTTATTTTATAGAGCAATGAGAAAAGCAACTGATATAGCATGTCATCATATTGGATTGTTTTGTTTTGTTTTGTTTTTTCCTTTTCGGGTACTGGAGATTAGACCAGTACCCAAAGCTTCATCCCGGCTAGGTTATTGCTTTGTCACTAAGCTCCACCCCCAGCCCCCTTTTTAAATTTTAGTTTTGAGGCAGATCTCACTAAATTAACCAGGCTGGCCTTCAACTCACTCTGCAACCCAGGGAAGTTCAACCAGGAAGGCTTGTGAATTTGCAATACCCCTGCCTCAGCCTCCTGCTTAGCTGGGATTATATGCCTACATCACCAGGTTCAACTGTTTTTTTAACTTTTACACTTATTTATTTAGTGGGCAGGTGTGTGTGCGCGCGCGTGGGTATGAGTGAGTGAGTGTGTGTATGTGTGTGTGTGTGTGTGTGTCTGCAGCTGTGTATGTGTGAGTGTACTGTGTGTGTGTGTGCTGTGTGTGTGCACATTCGCACCTATGTGTGCACCTGTGGGAAGTGGTTTTCTCCTTCAGCTGCTTGGCTTCCAAGGATCTAACTCGGGTTGTCAGACTTGGCAGCAAGTGCCTTTACCGACTGATTTGATTTATTTAGTTTTATTGGTATGTGCACGTGAGCGAGTTCACACACACACACACGTGTGTGTGTGTGTGTGTGTGTGTGTGTGTGTGTGTGTGCCAAAAGTGTGCAGGCGACTGCAGATGCCAAAAGAGGGTGTTGGATCTCCCAGAGTTGGAGTTAGAGGCAATTTTAAGCTGCAAGACATGGATGCTGGGAACCAAACTGGGGTCCATTGCAAGAATAGCAGTGCTTATAACCGCTAGGCCGTTTCTCTGGGCCTCATCACAACTTTTTTTTAAATTAATGATGCATTTATGTTGTCATTTTCTTTCATCTGTACAAAGTCTTTGGAATGATAGCGCTTTATGTTTATGTCATATTTGAACTCTGCCTACATTTCTAGAGCTGAGTAGCCACACTTGGTGGGTGGCCACCACACTTACCAGCTCTTTGGAAGCAGAGGAAGAGGAAGCAGCAGAAGGCTGAGAGCCTATCCCTCTCATAGCCCCAACATGAGAGCCTAAATTCCTCTCTGGCTTCTACTGAAGGCTCCTGTCCTAAGTTCCTGTCCTGACTTTTCTCAACGATAGCTCTGACCCGAAACTGAAGCCAAATCAACATTTTCCTCCGAGATGATTTTGGTCAGAGCATTTTTATCACAACACCAGAAACTCAAGCAGACACCAAGTGTCACACTTTTGGATAAACTGAACACCTGTCTGTTGAGACCAGGATATAGACACAAGGAAAAGCATCTCTTAAAACCATACCCAGAGCCGAGCAAGCAGATCTCTGTGAGTTTAAGGCTAGCCTGGTCTACAGAGTGAGGTCCAGGACAACCAGTGCTGCATAAGGAGACCCTGCCTCAAAAAAACCAAACCAAAACAAAACAAAAAAACCACACCTAGAAGCAACAGGCCTAGCAGTCTACTGCCCAAACACAGGCATACTCTGACTTTGGCCTTGGCCCACTGCATGTGGACAAGAGTTTCACCATTACCTCCTTGTGGTCTGACTCAGTGCTGGGTTCTCTCAGCCTCACTGAAGCCAGGTGAGTAGACAGAAATCTCTTAGTGTTGAAGTGGGTTTGAGCACAAGAGAAGACCACCCTCGGAAGACAGCAGCCCCCCGCCCCGTGCGGGGGGGCGGGGGCGGCGCCCCACAGCACCCTGATGCTGCCCCAGACAAGCCCCCCCCCTTGCTCTCCCACAGACGGCAGCCCCCCCCCCGTGCTCTCCCCCAGAAGGGTCAAGAAGGGAAAGTGGTGGCGCATGCCTTTAATCTCATCACTTGGGAGGTACAGACAGGAGGATCTCTGGGAGTTCAAGACCAGTTTGGGCTACAGATCAAGTACCAGGAACTCTGCTTCTGATTTCTAGTTATTGAAGGTTTATTTTATTCTATATTTTGTAGTAAAGATCAAGTTGAAGGCCTTGTGCATTACTGACAAGGCCTGCTGCCACTGAGCTAAATCCCCAGGCCTTACAAGACAGCGTCTTGTCCTGTTGCACAAGCTGAACACAAACTCTCAGCAACCAAAATATAGGACTATAGGTCTCTGTTTTAGGGTTTCTATTGCTGTGAAGACACACCATGACCAAGACAACTATTATAATAGAAAATATTTCACTGGGGCTGGCTTATGGTTCAGAGATTTAGACCATTATCTTCGTGGTGGGTGGCATGCTGGAAAACATGGTGCAGGAGAAGGAGCTGAGAGTCCTACATCTTGATCTGAAGACAACAGGAAGTGGACTGGGTGCCACACTGTGCTTAGCTTGAGTATAGGAGACCTAACAACCCACCCTCACAGTGACACACTTCCTCCAACACCACCTAATGGCACTACTCCCTTTGGACGCTATTTTCTTTCAAACCACCACCACCACCATACCCAACTTTTAAAAATTTTTATTTAGACAGGTCTCACTATGTAGCCTTGAGTGTTTGGAAGCCTGGAACTCAGTATGTACACCAAGCTAACCGCCAAAGATCTACCTGCCCCTATCTGTTGAGTGATGGGATTAAAGGTATGGGTTGTGATACCCCCCCCCCCAGCCACACCCAGCTTTTGTAAAAATTTTTACTTTTTTAAGAATGAATAAAACAAAAACAAGAATGAATCAAAAGAGTTACAGGACGTGCCCAGTACTTTCCAGATGCAAAGGGAAGTCCACTTAGCAAGTATAAAGAAAGAAAGGAATATGATTCTATATCAGGATGCTTTCTTTCAACATACAGGTTTTATTAATAGAGTCTGACTAGAGCTGGGAGAACAAAATTCTACCCTCTGAGAGTTTGTGACCTCACAATAGCTGGATTCCTGAGGCCTGGGGCTCCTCCTTGGAGGAAGAGGAGGAGAAGTCAAGGTTGCCGGATGCCCAGGGTCAAGGCAGGAAATCAGCCACAAGCTCACTGAGGCCTGCAAGAAGAGCTCCAGGCCCTGTCCCCAAGCACAAATGGCTGTCCTGCTGGGTGCTATGCTGTACCTGTCCATTCTCCTCCTCTGCTTCTTTCTGCTCATCTGTTACTGCATCTATCTGCAAGAATAAGACCAGACTTCTGAAATCGGAGGCTGAAACCTGGTGGGAGCCTTGGCCAGCCTGGCATCCAGGGTCATCAGTGGTCCCTAAACTGCTCCAGGGACTGCTGGCACATACAGTTGGGCAGGCTGTGCACAGGGCACAC